GTTTATTTCTCTTTATGAAACTCTCACCCCTCCATCACCCACCCCCAGCTCATTTGAGGCAATGTCTCTGCTCTGGATCCAGCTCACCCCTGCATACCTTCATTAATAGCGGTAGACTGAGTTGAATTTCCACATTCCATCGCCTAGACAGATTCTTTTTCTTACTTACCTGTTCTGCAATAGCTCACCTTGATGCATAAACACAGAAGAGCAAAGACTTTCTTTTCTCTGGCATCAGAAGCTCAAGTCATTGAGTATGAATGACTCAAAAAACAAATTGCATGAGCCCTTTTATTTAGTTTTATACATTTAAGCCAAGTTTGTAACTTTGGCAGTGTGCAATTTAACACCTAAAATATTGATTCACTTCAGGGTCTTGTTACTTTTAATCACTGGTGTCTATGCAAAAGCATTGAAGCGCCCTAATTGCAAATCGGTTCACAATTTGTTTTGGTTTTTAAGCCCCGCAGCTTTGGAAAAGACAAATAATCGTGCATCAAAACTAGCTGCTCAGGAATCATCGAGGATTTGGAATTCACCTGTAATAGTGAGCTATGACTTTTGGTAGAGACACATCATACAAGTTGGACAAAAAAATGTGAGAAAAAATGTGACTAATTTTATCATCGAAAATAATGGAATGTTGAGAAACAAGTGAGAAAACCCATCCTTCTCTGAAGTTCTATAGCTCAGAGATACCTCACAGTAGAAATGTCATTCAAAGTTTAAACATCACAGAAAGTTGTACTTCACACGACTTAACTGGTATTTTCAATAACTTAATACTGTTTCATAATTTTTGGAAAATCTTTCCACATAAAGTTTAACTTAGAGTGGTCATGTCACACATTCTGACATTTAATTTGTGTAAACTTTTCAAAATTTAGCTAACTCATTTTACTCCCACACTTTCTAATCCATCCATCCATCCATCCATCCGATCTGTCCATTATCTTTCGCTTGAACATGAACATGTGTCGGGTCTCGGGGGCAGCAGCTTGAGCAGGGAGGCACAAACATTTTTCTCCCCAGCCACCTCCTCCAGTTCTTCTGGGAGGACTCCAAGGCGTTCCCAGGTCAGTCGAGAGACATAGTCTAATGTGGAGGAGCAGTGGCTCTACTCCAAGTCTCTCCAGGGTAAATTAACTTCTCACCCTATATCTAAGGGATATTCCTGCTACCCTGCGGAGAAAAGTAATTTCTACCGCCTGCATCTGTGATCTCATTGTTTCAGTCTCTACCCAGCGTTCGTGACCATAGGTGCAGTCAGGAACGTTGGAGCTTCACCTTACAGCTCAGTGTCCTGTTCACCACAACGGGCCAGCACAGAGCCTGCAATACTGCAGACACTGTACTGCAGTACTGATCCATCTGTCGATCTTATGCTCCATTCTTCCCTGACTCGTGAACAAAACTCTGAGATACTTGAACTCCTCCACTTGAGGCAGAATCGCAGTCCCATACCCAGAGAGAGAAATCCAGCCTTTTCCGACTGAGGATGAGGTGCTGGTGCCTTTTAGTACATGGACAAGTTAAACATCAAAATGTAGGCATTTTTCAAGTTCAAGTCAACTTTATTGTCGTTTCCACCACATATGGTACATGAGGTGGAACAAAATTATGTACACAGGGTCCCATTTACACTGAAAAATAGCAAAATATAAAATATAAAAAGAAACAATAGATCAGGTTCAAGATATACAATAAGATCTAAGATGCTAAACACTAATAATGTAAAACTATACGGCGTAACAACAGCAGCCCGAACATGAGTTTATTTGTCTTCTTCCACACAGTATGTCTCTTATAAGAGACTTATAACTTCACACTCAACTTCAACTTCTTATCTCATAAGAAACTTATAACTCTTATAAGAGACGTATAACTCTTATAAGAGTTACTATTTTCCCTCAAATAGCCTGAGAGCATAGAAAGCACACATCCAAGCTCCCATAGACTTATTAAAGGTTAGCTCAAAAATCTCTTCGAATCTAGAAGGAACTGATGTTTTTTTTTAAGTTGTAATATTATTGACATAAAAGGGAGAGGTGGCACAGAGGTTAGAAAAGGTGCGCCTGTAATCGCAAGGTTGCCGGTTCAATTCCATGAACCGACAACATTGAAATGTGGGTAGGAAAGTTGAAACACCCAAACCTGTCTCCACCCTCATTTGCCCCACTCTGGGCCCTTGAGCAAGGCCCCTAACCCCCACCATCTACTCCCCCAGGTGCCCTAGATAGCAGCTGTTCACTCCACACAGAGGGCTGTGGTAGCTTGGTGGTCTTTGGTTGTGTCAGTAAGGACATCTGGTGTAAAAACAATTGCCAAGACTTTGTATGAGTTAGTTCACTGTAGTGACCCCTGAAGAAGGGAGTAGCCGAAAGAAGAAGAAAAATAAAATAAAATAAATAAATAAATAAATAAATATTATTGACATAAAGCACAGTGGAGACATAAAACTTTACATTATTTGTCCAGAATTCAAGATCTGTTTTTTTTTATTCATTATTTCACAGAGCAACTATTTATTTGAGACTTACGTTTTAGTCTTTCTTTCTGTCTGCCTCTGAAAATACACTTACACTTATCTATGTATCACCTTTTCATTAAAACTTATTTACATCTTTTCTTAAAACGTTATACTTTGTCTAGCAACTTGTTTTCAATTTCTGTTTTCTCAATCTTTTCTATTTTGTTTTGGTGTTAAATTTATAGGGTGTTACTTTTTTGACTGTGAGCAGGAAGCATGCAAAACAAAAAATTACTTTGTTTGAACATGTGTTATCTTTGCATATTGTATGCAATAAGATGTGTGTGGTCACAATAGTGATCATAATAAGTTATTGACATCAGATTATCATTTAATTTGAGCTTGTTGCTCTTTACACTTCTTATATAGTTTATTTACGAAAATGTTTGCATTTTAAGATTACATTATACCAAAAGTTATTGTTGGAAAGTTTGAGCAGTAGCTGCATTGATACTTTTCTAATAAACTTTCCACTTAAAAAATAAAAGCTAGTTTTCTTGTCCCAAAATGTCCCTCAGCTTCTCGTCTTACAAGACCATAGCTCCATTATGAGGTAAAGTCACCCCATCTTTGTGTTTACTAATCTCAGGCAGTCATTCCTTCCAACTTCCATCGTTAAATCTTTCATGGTACCCTCTTCACTTTACAATGGCTGGAGCCTGCAGGTGTTGAGTGAGATTCACATTACTGAGGCGATAAAAGCCCCACACTCACTCAGTCCTGCAGGGGAAAATCTTCTTGAGTATTTCATTTCTTTGCTCAGATCCATTCTGAGGACAACAATGGTGTTATGTTATAGGTTCAACAAGTTTTTTTAAACATATAAAACATATACTCATATCCTGAATTCTGAATTATATTAATAAATAAATACTTGTAAAAATAACACTCCATGATTGTGTCAGCTTTTAAATATCAACAAGACACAGATAAAAGACAGACAGTAGAATATTAATGTATTTATTTTAAGATGAGTGATGTTTCACATGTCTATATTAAATCTTGACGAGTGAGTGTGTTGGGGCAATGGTTCCCACACCTGTTGGCTTCCAAGACAAAAAAAAAAGAAAACAACATAGTGACAAAGGCTTGTGATCTCATGTGCTCTCAGTTCAAATATACAGATATTGTTATTAATCCTATTCAACAATGACATTACAAATGGTCTCAAAGCCCATTTTAATATGAGTACTGTTTTTATACTTTATAGCAATTATGGTAAAAATACATAAATTGATAAAAATACAATGTTTTTAAATTGTAACTTGATATCTGGAGATTATTTTATAACCCCTACTTGGTGTTTCATGACCCACAGTGGGCCTCTTAACTTTGGGAAAAAAAACTTCTTTAGAGGATGAAATTATAAAATAGAAAAATCAGAACATATCATAATTAAAAAGTTGCAATCATAAAATATATGTATATGCAGCTCTGGGTTTTCTCCTCTGGTTTCCTACAGTCCAAAACATGCATGTTAGGCTGCCTCCAGACTCAGGCCTCCTTGGTAAAAGAGATCTGAGATCTCAACACTTGTCTTGTTAAATATAGGTAAAAAAGATGGCTAGTCACAAGGTCAATAAAAGTAACTGAACTGATTTAGTTTTTGCACCAGGAGTAGCAAAAATCACCTGTGAAACAGCTGTGGAGAGCGTGTGAAAGTTGTGATTCCACTGAATAATGATTTCTGTATTGTTTTGTCTAAAAACGAATATAATCTTGTTTCTTTGCATTTTTAAGCTCTGAAACTGCACATTTCCTCCTGTTCTGACTTTTACTCATGCTTTGCAAAAGAATGCTCTAAATTATAATAGTTTATTTGAATTTGGAGTAAACTATTAAAATAGATCATAAAATAAAATAAAGTGGATTTTTTTTCCAAATATTAAAATCAGACATTTATTTTTCACACGAAGCTTTTGCGCAGCCGTCGGTCTATCTATTTTGGATGGTGGTGGGGTGTGAGTGTGTGTGTGTGTGTGTGTGTGTGGGGGGGGGGGGGGGGGGTTGCTTAGAGGGGTTGGTGATGCTCATGAATGAACTGGGGGAGGGTGGGGGGTTCGGATCCGTGTCACCCGATTGTCCCGGTGCGGCGCAGTGGGCGGATAGCAGTGTCTCTTCGCTGCCCAATGGCAGGCACGACTCTCCTGAGAGCCTCTCTGCCATGCACAATCCCCAGCACCCGCATCACTACGGCTCGGAAAGCCGCAGCACTGACTGTGCAACAGCCTCGGCTGCTGAGAGATGTCAGAGCGCGTGTCGGCGCGCACACGGCCGCAGCAGGAGCTCACTGGAGCTGCGTAGGAGCGCCGGAACCAAGGAGGCGAAGAGATTTCCGCTGCTTTTGATCCTGTGCGTAAAACAGACCTAACGCTGGAATAAAAGGATTTTTATTTTATTTTTTGCTCCTGTCACCCTGTGTGCGCCTCGTCTCTCTTAGTCCGGGCGGCTTGATTTGCTCCATGTCATCATGATCATCCTCTCGTCTCGCAGTGTGCTGCTGTCTGTCTACTACCCGCAGATCTTCCTGATCCTGACGAGCGGCAGCTACCTGTAAGTCTGAGCCAATTACCTGCTCCTTAATTAACTCCAGAGAGACACCCCACACCCCCCCCCCCACACACACACACACACACACACACACACA